AAATCAACGACTCTAAGAGATTTTGGAGAGATCCCTTTAATACCCAAATTTTGTAAACCTTTTAGGTAAGGCTTGGGAGGGAAAGGGCTAAGAGGGCCTTGAACCTGTTGGAAGAAAACGTGGCCAAAAAAAGTGTGACAAAAGGGGTTTTAAGGTTTGAGGCAACCCTAGTGATTTTGCCATTGAGGAACCATTGTGGGGATTGGAAATCCTTGGGGGTTTGGGGGTTAGTGGGGGGTTTGGAAGAGTTTGTGGAGGGGGACAATAAGAACTAACCACTGATGAGTTTTAAATCAACTTCAAAACAAAAAGGGCCAACCTGGGAAACTGTTTGAGGAGGGGGGAAAAGAAATTTAAAAATTGCCTACTACAAAGTTTGGAAATCGTGCAAAGTGGCCTTTAAGTGCAAACCTTCATGGAGAAAATCACCCTCACACAGCTATTGCAACCTGCTGGGATTTTTACACGACAATTTTGTGAAAAACTTTTAGGGAAGTCATAAAGGAAAAAGAGGGGACAGGCCAATTTTACAGATATCTTGTGCGAAAGAAGTCCCGGCTCTGAAGCTGGCCCGTGGCATTAAAAGAAGAAAGGGGAATAACCCCAAAAAGGGTTCTACCTCAAGTCCAAATGGGGGGTTCCCCTTCTAAACAGTAGAAGATAATCTTCCCCTCCTCCCCCCCTCAATCATCCCCGATCTTCAATAAAAGTAAGGTCAGAAGTGTGCTCCTTTTTTTAGTTTGTGTGTTTTAAAATTAACATTTTTATGTGGTAAAAAAATTTTTTTTCAACTTTTTGGGGTCTTGCACGGATTAATTTTATTTCCATTATTTCTTATGGGGAAAATTCATTCACATAACGATTATTTCGCATAACAATTACCCCTCTTGCACGGATTAAAATCGTTAACCGGGGGTCCACTGTATTCCCTTGAATGCAGGCGGGAGAGATACATGATCATATACACCTGGAAAATCCTAGAGGGACTAGTACCGAACTTGCACACGAAAATCACCAATTACGAAAGCAAAAGACTTGGCAGACGATGCAACATCCCCCCAATGAAAAGCAGGGGTGTCACTAGCACGTTAAGAGACCATACAATAAGTGTCAGGGGCTCGAGACTGTTCAACTGCCTCCCAGCATACATAAGGGGGATTACCAACAGACCCCTGGCAGTCTTCAAGCTGGCACTGGACAAGCACCTAAAGTTGGTTCCTGATCAGCCGGGCTGTGGCTCGTACGTTGGTTTGCGTGCAGCCAGCAGTAACAGCCTGGTTGACCAGGAGGCCTGGTCACAGACCGGGCCGCGGGGGCGTTGACCCCCGGAACTCTCTCCAGGTAAACTCCAGTACTGTATTTTATACTGTAAGGTTTAGGAAAAACACTGTGTACAACACAAATAGTTGTTTATTTCCCAGAAATTTGGCATAAAAAACACGGTCGTAAGTTGAGTGGTCGTAAGTCGAGCAGGTCGTAAGTCGGATGGTAGGTGTACACAACAATTGAACATTATAATATAAGGAGAATATTGGAATGGAAGCTTACGTAATTGACTATAATGAAACTGTAATGCATTACAAGGTATGATATAGCACAACTCATTGAATGAAACTCAACATTGGGATTACACAATAAAAATGATAAAAAAAAAAATTTGATCGATCGATCTGTATTCATGTGATCTACGGATTCTGAGGAAGAAATATATACAAAGAAAGAAGTGTTTAACAGAAGCAGATTTGGTGCACTCAAATCTAGACTGTTAAATCTCAGAATTCGGAGAGAACGTGAACACAAAAAAAAAAAATTCTTGAATATTAATAAGTTGATACTGTAATTATTCATCTATACAGGTTAAGGAACGGGAGGTACAGAGCTCTATGGACAGATTTGTTGTGCGACAGAGGTCCAGTTACTATCAAGCTGGTCCTAGTGGCATTAAAAGGAGAAAGGAAGTAACCCCAGAAAAGGACTTGCTACCTCAAGTCCTAATGGAAGGGGATTCCCTTTCTAAACAATAACTTTTCACACACTCCCCTCCTCCCATCACATCAATCATCACCAGATCTTCAATAAAGGTAAGTGTCATGTATTCTATTCTTAGTAGAGTAGTAATTGTGCATGTCTTCTTCAGTTTGTGTGTATTAAAATTAATATTTCATGTGGTAAAATTTTTTTTTTTTTCATACTTTGGGGTGTCAGGAACGGATTAATTTGATTTCCATTACTCCTTATGGGGAAAATTAATTCGGCTAACGATAATTTCGGCTTACGATGAGCTCTCAGGAATGGATTAATATCGTAAGGTGGGGGTCCACTGTATATCCACTTTGAGAATTGAAAGGTCCTGCAGGGCTAATTGCTCCAAAATATCATCACTGCAAGTCAGAAAATCACTTTGTACAATGGTATGCAGTAAAACCACCGTACCACTGCAAGAACTGAGAGTAGCATGCTTGTGAACTGTGACTGGAATGTTATCAATGGAAGCAAGATGGGAAAGATCATGAGCTTGTTCTGCATTCTGAACTGTAACGATGTGCACACCGCTTCTAAGATCATGAAAGGATATATTCTGGCCAACGTGTCATAAAAGAGCTTTACCAATACATACTATGGTAAGATAATCAGTTGAAGATGTCGGTTATAGGAAAAGAATTTAGTCCACTGCACACCTGTGGAGAGGACGTGGGTGTCGCGTAGGTCGTTTTTAGATAGAATGAGCAGACATCAAAGAACAGTCATCAGCAAATGGTCTGGAATGTTTAGGCATAGTACCACGGGCAGCCCAACCTGAGGTAGGTGGGCAATCCGGAAAACCATCGCACCATATTCAGGGAAGCTGGACATATAGTTAAAGGCGTGCAAGAGGTTGAGGCACTAGCAGAAATGGGCAGAGCCTCAGCACCTGGAGCAGGTGACAAAGCGTCACCAGCAGAAGGTACAGGGGTATGGGAAGAGTCTGGAGAATGGTCCAACAACGAAGCCTGGTCAGAACAGGATATAGAAACAGAAAGGGGTCTGGGAGGAGGAGGGTTATTACGAAATGAAGACTCCATGATAGTGGTATTTCTTTCTTATTATTTTAAAGAAAAATAAAGAAAAAAAAAGGGACAGCGGAGGGACAGTCACTAGAAGGCATGAATGGGCTGTAAGTTCCTCCTCTCATCTGAGAGGACCTCAAGCCTGCAAGCAGTGCAGATGCAGCATGGAAACTGTGCCATACCCTACCCTTCACGCCGGTAAACCTGCACTCCGGGATAGCAACCTCACGTCTACCGAGCCACCTTGGCAGACAAAAAAAGAGAGGGCAGTCGGAAACCTGCCACAAAGCATACCTCCTTCGGCTGCCACCTCCTTGAACCAACAGGCAGCCTCTGGAGATACGCCCGTCACTTGCAGGACACACCACCCACTTCTCGGAAATCTGGGAAGGGAGCAAGGCACCTCCAGATAATCCAGATTCCATAGCAAATTACACCACACCTGAGGAACCTCACAGAGCGAGATGAACCCCAGCACACTTCTCCCTACCTAGAAACCATAATGCCAGCGGAGAGAACCCCTGAGGCTACAATCGGGATGGGGAAAAGGGAGGGTTGGGAGGGGGGATTAAAGGGAAAAAAAGGAGGGATGGGGAGGATGGGACAGGGCAGGGAGGACTGGGGGGTAATTAGGTTCGGTCTGAGGAAGGAGACCAAAGGATCTAATTCCTTATACAAAGAGCCTCTTTGCCACATCAAAGAGCCCCCCTTGAAGAGGTTTCAGATCAATAACAAGTCAAACTGGATATTCTTATTGAATGCTGTGTTGACTATGTAAGGCAATTTTTTATGGGACTATTTGACATCTTTTGATATCTGAATACATTGTCAGTTCTCTGAACAATTCACCTACGTACATCTGAATATGTACGTACTGGCAAGAAATAGCAATACATGTTTTGTCTGTAACTGTTTACCAGAGAACCCTTCACTGAATTAGGATTACCCTGGCTTATTTTCCCCAAATATGAAGATTTGCAATTAAAGTAACTTATTACATGAAGCCAATGCAAAAAATTTTAGCTCCTGCAAATCATTATGGAAATAAGAATTCTGTAATGCTGTTCTATACAGTATATCTAAATTAAACACACCACAACCTCAACTATAAAACTCATTTCATAATACCACCACTGTCAAAAAAAAAAAAGGGGGGGAGGGGCTATCCCCAAGTGAAGGGAAAGTAATAAAAAAACCAAAGAAAGAGTTACAATGTTAACCCTTAAACTGTCCAAACATAGATCTACGTCCAATTTTACATGCTTTCAAATGGAGAAAATAATGGTCGGAGCGCTACGCACGTCAACATAGTTTAAGGGTTAAATGTGGTAACAAGTAATAAAGTTTAGAGAGCAGCATTAACATATTGTTTTGTGCTGTTTGGAAGTGTGATCTTGGAATTACTTTATTAACTGTGCAAGATACTGAAGTACAGTAATAAGAATGAAGTTCATAAAGCTGGAAGAACTTTTTGAAATACAGTGGACCCCTGGTTTACGATATTATTTCATTCCAGAAGTATGTTCAGGCGCCAGTACTGAACGAATTTGTTCCCATAAGGAATATTGTGCATTAGATTAGTCCATTTCAGACCCCCAAACATACACGTACAAACGCACTTACATAAATACACTTACATAATTTGTCGCATTGGGAGCTGATCGTAAAGCAGGGGTCCACTGTATATCCAAAATGAGTTTCAAATCAAAGAATTTAAAGACTTTAAATTCTTAATATAAAAATTAAATACTGGAAGAATATGGTAAGAACCTGCAAGAATTTGACACAAAGCTAAAACTGTTTTGGTACAAAGGTTAGTTAATAGATGTGTGCTGAAGGAAATAGTTCTTTAGAATAAATGCTAATATATCAGTGTTAGACATTATATCGAACAAAACCCAGACTTACAATTAAAGTGCAGGCAGCACTTTAACCCTGCAATGTTAAACTTACCTGCTCTTGCTATCTGTTGGTTGATTCATTATTCTGGCCTTTACTACGTCAGCAGGGCAGCCCATAACGGCCGATACCAAGCCTGAGCATGCGCTGCAAGATGAATAATACTAATACAATATACTTCCTGATGGTAGTACACATTCCAGGTCTCTCTGCTGACTCCTTGGACTCCCAACACTGCATACATCACCAATAAATTAACAAGGATAAATACTTTTCCTTATTCAATATTTTTAACTGATGCCTTCATTGTTGGAATTCCAGTCAAGTCTCCTATTTGCATAAAGAAACTAGGTGGTACTGAGAGATCAAGCTGAGTATATTTTTACTCTAAAATGAACTTGTGATCACAATAACCTGTTTTATGGCACGAGAAATGTTTCATAGATACATATTTAATACACAGTTTTTTTTTTTTTTCCAACAAGTCGGCCGTCTCCAACCGAGGCAGGGTATTAACCTGATACTCCTAGCAACATATAAACATAGGCTCTCAAGCTATAGGAAATGAATTTCAGGTTTCATAGTTACTCCACTGAAGATCTTTATGTAGAATGAGGGGAATTTATTGTTTCTTCCTCTGATGAATATTATAATATTGATGATGATGTCCCCAGAGTCATCAGTGCCCCAGGTCAAGCCTAGATAACATTCACTGTATTCTGATTTATAAATCTAGGAAACTTCACTTCCCTTAGTTGATGAATAATATTCATTCATTACAAAGGCATGAGCTTTTTGGTACCTCTTGTACTTCTAACAGATAAGACTACAGAACAGTACCAACCTTTGGAGAATGACTGAGAAAATGAAATTTTAATTGTGGGTGATGTTGAAAATGCTCTTTATGTCTGGTAAAGAATATAAATTTTCTTATCTGCATTTTGTGGTTGTTTGAGGTAGATTTAGCTAGTGTGAAAACACACATTTAAATAAGGTTTACTAATTATCGACATTAGGGGGTTCTTGGTTAATAAGGAAATCACAGTCTGGGGATGCAAGTACTCTGGAATATTAAGGTAGATGGTGTGCTCTTTCCACAAAAGTAACATCCTTAACAAAGAACAAAGAGGCACAATACCATGACTGGAACAATACACAGATAACCAACACACGAGAGAGAAGCTTACGACGATGCTTCAGTTCGACTTGGACCATTTACAAAGTCGCACAGTATCATTGTAAGCTTCTCTTGTGTGCGGGTTATTTGTGTAATGTATCCTTAAAGCAAATTTCAGGATTTATCATCTGGTGAAGATAAGTTAAGGAGTTTTCCAATGCACTAAATACAAAAAGTGAAAAATTCTGTTTGAGAAGGATATACATACTCCAAGATGCAGTAATGTTGTGGTGCACAACATATGCAAGCTGAGCAAAACCATATCAGTACAGTAAGGCTAGACTTCATTAATCCTGTGTCTAAACAACAGAAAATGCTAGATAAATATTACGATTTTAATTATCTGTTTCTTTCCTACCAAAAATATAAATCCTGAAAAATGAGAACACTTTTTGGTCAAAACTTGAATCCCCAAAAAGTGCAGTAGTGGCCATACACCGCCCTCACATGTTATTCGCTGGTAACAATGGGCGAAACATACTTTAAACTAATTTTTTTTTTCATACCTTTCACAAAAATTAGGCAGTAAAAGCTGGTAATTACAGTAAACAAAGCAGCAGCAGCAAAAATAGTGTTAAAAGAAAGTAAAAAGTAATGGGAGAGAGACAATACACTTCAGAGATGATTATCAACATATCGGCAATCTACCACCAAGGCAGGGTGGCCCAAAAATGAAAAACTTTCATCATTCACTCCATCAGTCTTGCCAGAGGTGCACTTACACTACAGTTATAAAACTGCAACATTAACACCACCTCCTTCAGAGTGGAGGTGCTGTACTTCCCACCTCCAGGACTCAAGTCCGGCTTGTCAGTTCCCCTGAATCCCTTCATAAATGTTACCCTGTTCACACTCCAACAGCACGTCAAGTCCTAAAAACCATTGGCACGTTCATGCATGCTTGCTGGAAATCCAAGCCCCTCTCACACAAAACCTCCTTTACTCCCTCCCTCCAACCTTTCCTAGGCCAACCCCTATCCTGCCTTCTCTCCACTACAGATTTATACACTCTCGAAGTCAGTCATTCTCAAAGTCATTCATCTCTGTAGTTTTCATGTAGAGATATCCCAATTTTTGGTCTTTTTATGCACACTGAGTTTTTATAAAGTTTAAGATGGATGTGGGGACTATCACAGAGATTTCTGTGTCCAGTATTCTGTATATAAGTTCTGTTGTGACTATCAAGAAGTTGTTTCAGAGAAGGATTGATTTTAGAATTTACTGTCCTGAATATCTAGTATGCACAATAGTATGAGTGAATTTTAGATCTTTGAAGAGTGGAGGAGTGTGTTGTCTAGCAGTAGACTGGGTGATCATTTGTACTGCTACTGTTTTGTATTAATGGCCTAAGGTAATCTGCTATAGTGGATCCCCAGGCATAAATAGCATAGGTCCAGTCTTCTCCTTGCAACAATCACCACCCATGCTTCACACTAATATTAGAGCACTAGTATCACTATACTCTCATACATTTTCCCTTTTGCTCTTCCATGGATAACACTCTCCACAGACTTCAAACTGAACCACTTGCCTTTTTACCTCGTCAATGCTATGATTCACCTTGCTTTTCATAGACTCATCTGCTAACAAGTCCACTCTCAAATATATAAACACATTCACTTCTTCCATACTCCCTCTCTCCAATCTGATATCCAATCTTTCATTACCTAAATTTTTTATTACCCTCATCACCTTGCTCTTTCAGTGTTCACTTTCAATTTCCTTCTTTTACATACCCTCCCAAATTTGTCCACCAATCTTTGCAACTTCCCTTCAAAATCTCCCAAAAGCAAAAACTGATTGTGACAACTCCCACTTTGTGTTAGATTCTTTATCTTTCAATCCCACACCTCTCCCTAACACCCTAGCATTCACTTCTCTTACAACCCCATCTATAAATATATTAAACAACCATGGTGACATGGTTAACATTATTTTTTTTTTTATTAACACATCAGCCTTCTCCCACCAAGGCAGGGTGGCCCGAAAAAGAAAAACTTTCAACATCATTCACTCCATCACTGTCTTGCCAGAGGAGCACTTACACTACAGTTATAAAACTACAACATTAACACCCATCCTTCAGAGTGCAGACACTTATATCCCCATAAATTTCACATTTTAAATATGTATTTATTTAGGTTTCCTCAGGCCATAAGAAAATCATCTGTGATTACAATGACATCCATAATAATGATGATGTCTCTCATGTCACAAAGCTACTTTTCCAACATTAAGACACTGACTCAGCTGATCAATCTACCACCTAGCTTTTTGTTACACCTGTAAGGAGACTTCAGCCTAATGCAAGAGTATGCTGCAAAGGCTCACTTTAGGTTGTGGATGCCTAGTTACACCCACCTGGCCCGGTCGTCAGTGGGCTGGTTCATAACCCTGGTCTTGACTACATCCACTGGAGTGCCCATGGTGGCTCCTATCAGGCCTGAGCACGCACTGCAACAACAACACTAGTCCACATCTACATTCACTCACAGCTTAGACTAAGGCACCTCACAAAATGCTTTCTCTCAATTGCTTTCACAAGTGAAAAATTGTACTAATATCAGGCTAAAAGCATTAATTCCCAAATAAATGATGCAGAGCAGTGCAACAAACTCTACATGAAGCTCCATAAGATACATGGCCCATCATGGCTCATGAGTTGCTTGTTGCTTATTACCTCTTTCACTGTGGCTCGCAGGACAATATCAGGTACATTTCCTGTTCCAGATATTGTCTGAATGAGCTGCACCTAATGAGCAAACCAGTTACACGTGATTCATGAGCCACAACTCAGCTATGTCAACTAGAAATATTCAATCAAGATTGTAAATCAGCTTCATGAAATAAGATTTGGGGGCAAAACTTTATCTTTAGGCCTCCATCATTGAAACAAATTGAATAATGATTTCTTTCACCATTACCTTTACACTATTTTCCACTTCCTTTACATAGGGAGGCACTCAACCAGAAAAAAGAATTGTTATAACACAGTTTCATTATATTCACAGTGAAGTGCTAAACCCAAAGGAGTTGTACAGCACCTAAGTAAAAGGGGTAATTAGATTAGATCCACAGAAGGGCAGGGTTGCTCTAATTCCTTCAATTAAGAGCCCTTTGTTAGCAGCATGGCACATCATTTAAAGGGTAAGGACAATAATGTTAAGTAAAAAAAAAAGTTAGCAAGATTCATCAACACCTAATCTCACAACACAGTACTCGGCATTCTCTGCAGCCTCATGAGAACCTAGAACACAGAGGTGCACTGTAGTCAGAGTAGCACTGGGGAATAATACCTAAAAGTAGAGATGTACTGTAGCTATCCTTAACAATATCTCAGCCAACATCACAGAGCTGGTATGTAGGAGTCTGTGTGAAATGTTACAAAACCTTTGGTTAAATTCTTTCTATCTTCATAACAAACTGCTTCCACAATCCTATCCTCTGCTGCTTACTGAGCACTGATAACATGCATGACAAACTTGCTCACACACTACTCACATGCATGGAAATCTTGCTCATACACATGCATGACAAATTTGCTCACACACTGCTCACATGCAAGGCCATCTTGCTCACACACTGCTAACATGCAAGATAAACTTACTCACACACTAATAACATGAATGACAAACTTGCTCACACACTGCTCACATGTATTATGTGGAGTTTACCTCGAGTTGTTTCCCGAGGTCACTGCCCCTGAGACTCAAGTCTCAGACCAGGCCTCTTGGTTGTTGGCCCAATTGATCAAGGTGTTAGTGCCCACCACCCATAGCTCAACATATGCACCACAACTCAGCTGATGGGGGACTGTTTTGAGAAATCTGTCAAGTTCCCTATTGAAGACAGCTAAGGGTTCATTGGTAATTCCCCTTAAGCATAAAGGTAGGATGTCAAGTTGAGGTCCCTTAACACTTATTAAGGTCTTTCTCAGTGTACACAATGTTCCCCTGCTTTTCACAGGAGGTATCCTGCACCATCTGCCAAGTCTGTTTTCATAAGTAGTAATTTCAGTGTGCAGATTTGAGGCCAATCCCTCTAGTATCATCCAGGTGTAATTTATGGTGCATCTTTGTCTCGCCTACATTCTAAGGAGTACAGTTCTAGGGACTTCAAATGCTCCTAGCAATTTAGGTGCTTAAGAGTAAATTTATATGAGAGCTATAAAGGTTCTCTGTACATTTTCCAGCTCAGGAATTTCACCTGCCTTGAAGGGGGCCATTAGTACACAGCCTAGAGAGAATGAGTAACCTGAAGAACACCATCAGTGGATTAACATTATCACTTCCAGGTCTTTCACATTCAACTTATATTCAATTGAGCAGTCTGAGCTTGTCTTGTACACTGATCTTGTTTTTATTTCCCTTATTCTTCCATGGCATAACAAATGAAATTTGCCCACATTGAATATCATATTGTTGTCAGTGGCCCACTAAAAGATTTTGTTTGTCAGCCTGGAGGCTTGGTGTGTATTTTATGGGTGCCACCTTCGTACAGATTCTAGTGTGCTATGATTGATGTCCCTGGCTATGTCAGAAATGAGAATGAGGAAGAAAGTGAGGTGAGCACTGTTTCCTGAGGGACAGAACTTTTCACTGTAGCAGCCCCTGATTTCTCTCCACTTACTATTACTCTCTGGGTTCTGTTTGTCAGGAAGATAAATATCCATCTGGCCACCTTCTCAGTACTCCCTTTGCAGGCATTCTGTGTACAATTACCCCATGGTCATATTTTAATATTAATGTCTTTTAGCTAAGTCAGTGTAAACCACATTTGCATTTTGTCTGTCTTCAGGAGCATCCAAGAACATGCTGTAATGGTCCAGTGAAAGGCAGAAGTGACCAATTCTGAACCAATGTTGACGTGGGTTGTGCAACTGCTGCAATTCCATGTGATTGGTAACCTTGCTTTTTAAAACCCTTTCAAATATCTTGATAATGTGGGATGCTAGGTCTAATGGTCTGTAGTTTTTTGACATTGCTTTACTACCACCTTTGTGGAATGGGGCACTATCTGTGGTTTTTAATGACTGCAGGTCAATTCCAGTGTCTAGACCTCTCCATAGACCACTTAAGGTATGTGATAAGGGTTTCTTGCAGTTCCTGATGAATAGTGAGTTCTCAGAGTCTGAGTCTGGGGCAGAGTGCTTGGACATGCAATCAATGGCTTCTTGGAAGTCAAGTGGGGTTAGAGTTATATCAGTGATTAGTAAGATGTCTGCAGCATTTTATGTCTCATTCATGAGGAACTCGTTTGGGTTGTCAATCTTTATGCTGATTAATGACTCACTGAACATTAAATTGTACAGGGACTTAAGTATTTCACCTTTTCCCTTGTTGTTGTCGATGTGTGTCCCATATCCTCTACTCAAAGGCCCAATATTAGATGTTTTAGACCTGGATTTTGCATATGAGAAGTAGTATTTTGGATTTCTCTCAATTTCACTTATGGCTTTTACCTCCTCCTGTCTCTCCTAGACTCTGCTGTATTCAATTTGAGCTCAACATTTCTAAATTCTCTAACCAGTATTACTTTTCATTCTTCAGAGCCTACTGTCTTTGAGAAGGTCTCTTATTCACCATCTTCTCCAATAATACACTTGCTAACACAATACTCATATTACACGACACTTACACGCTGCTCACATATTTGATCCTCTTGCTCACACACTGCTCACATGCATTATATAACACTCATGCTCACACATGGCTCACATACATGACACACTTCCTCACATGCATGATACTCATGCTTACACACTGCTCACATGCATGATACTCATGCTTACACACTGCTCACATGCAAGACATTGTTGTTCACACACTGCTCACATGCAAGACATTGTTGTTCACACACTGCTCACATGCAAGACATTGTTGTTCACACACTGCTCACATGCAAGACATTGTTGTTCACACACTGCTCACATGCAAGACATTGTTGTTCACACACTGCTCACATGCACAAACACAATGCTATGAACAATGCACAGTATTTAGTTATTCATTGCCTCTAAGTCACCCTTGAACAGATATTTAAGAGTTATAAAATAAAACTTGCTGGTTTTATTTATCTCTGAGTTTTGTTGTCATCACTCTTGCAACATTAACATTGTTTACACTAAGCATCACTCATTCTCTATTTAATATTTTTGCTGCTATCAGACTAGATTTTTTACCCTATGTTCTTCATTTTTTATGATAAAGTCTTTATATAAAATTTCCATAATTTTACTCTTTTTTTTTTTTTTTTAAGTTGTGTATTCTCTAAAGCTGACAGCTTCATTGTCCATTGGGCTTAGAAACAATTCATTTTGTGCTTAGAATAATTACTTTCATACTTAGAAACAGTTAATTTTTGAGGCTGCACATTTCACATCTCAAACCTCAAAGCAGCTTTAAGTTAGGAAGATTATTATTCAATGTTTAACAGTTCTCTCTGCATGGTTATGTAGAGATGAACATTTAACATTGAATGGTTAGCAACCTGCTCTAAACTGATAACATTAGTACAGTGGAACCTCAAATTTCGAACTTAATCCATTCCAGGAGCTAGTTCTAAATTCAAAAAGTTTGAAAGGCAAAGCAACATTTCCCATAAGAAATAATGGAAATACAATTAATCCGTTCCAGAAACCCAAAAATATTCACAAAAAAATATATTTTTTATATAGTATTACATTACAGTTTTACATACACAACAAATATGGTGTACAATTATTAATAAATTTAAATAAACATATAAAATAACATTTTTACTTACCTTTATTGAAGACTGGTGATGGCATCTGGAAGATAGGCAGGGGGAGGGAGGGAGTTGGGGTTAGTGTTTGGAAGGGGTATCCCCCTCCATAAGGACTTAAGGTATCAAAGCCCTCTCTGGGGTTACTTCCCTTCTCTGTCTTTTAATGCCACTAGGACCAGCTTGAGAGTCACTGGACCCCCGTCTCACAAAATAGCTGTCCACAGTCCTCTTTCTGGTGCCTCTAAGATTTCCCTAAAATGGGACATGGTTCTGTCACTGAACTTGTTGCAAAGATGGCTTGTTTCAGCTTGCTCAGGGTGGTACTTCTCCACAAACATTTGGACATCATTCCACTTGGCGCAAACCTCCATAATCTTTGAATCGGAATGCAACTTCCTTGCCTTTTCACAAATAATTGTCTCTGAAACACTATCACCTGCCATCTCTTTATCCTTGATCCACACCAGCAATAACTTTTCAACCTGATCGATTGTCTGTGGTCTTTTTTTGGTTAGCATATCAACACTTTTTCTAGGTAGTAAGTTGGTAGACAGCAACTGCCCAGGGAGGTACTACTGTCCTGCCAAATGAGTGTAAAACGGAAGCCTGTAATTATTTTACATGTTGGTAGGATTGCTGGTGTCTTTTTATTCTGTCTCATACACATGCAAGATTTCAGGTACACCTTGCTACTTCTACTTACACTT